GTAACACTGAGCACAAAGCCTGGAGAATGTTTGTGAAATGAGTGGAATTCGGGGAAAGAATGCTGTGGTTTTGCAAGTTTCCTAGAGAATGAGGTGAAGCCGGCGTGTGTGGCTCCTCCCTGGGACCAGCAGGCTGTGCCTCTCTGTTCGGCGTCCCCTCCTGAGCCGCACTGCCCACGCCTCGCACTGCGTTCAACTCTATCTGACCCGAGCGGGAGCCTATTTCCAAACCGCACCCTGGGAAGCAAGGCCTGACAAAGATTTGAACCCAGAAATCAACATTCAAAGGGCCCTGTGCCCTTCTGTTTGTGCTTGCGTTTATAATACCCGCCTTTTGTGTTTTGGCAGACCTTTCTCAACCGATTTGCAGGTCTGCAGCTTCCCTTCCAGTGAGTAGGTTGACTCCTCAGTGCATCTAGGGAGGTTCCTTGACCTCCTCAGCAGACCTGGAAATGAACTCACCCAGGGGCTTGCTGGTCCTCTTCGGAAGCTTGCCCATGTCTCCATTTCCCGCCCTAATGACCTTCCTGGAGCCCACTAGGCTACCTGTCCACTGGCCAGAGCGCAGGTGTGGTGAGTGGCAGAGTATGGTCAGGACTCTGCCCCAGGGCACAGCCTGAAGGCACTGGGCAAGGCAGGGGGAGCCCTGGGTTCTAATTCCAATTCTGCACCTGCTCCTTGGCGTGTCCTGGAGCGGCTCGCTACTCCCTGGGTCTCAGCTGTCAAATGGAGGGGCCAGTGGGAAGTCCAGACTCAAAGTCCAATAGCCTCACGCAGTTCAAGCACCTGCCAGGTCCTGGTGTGTGAGAACGGGAATCTGCTTTCCCGCCTCCCCGCCTGCAGTTGGGGATAAACTGCCGGTGCCCCTATCTAAGGCAAACACCTTCAGGGCCACTGCACCCCCCTCCCTCCCCCAGAGATGCTCCCTCCTCTCTCCTGCAAAGCCGGTTTCCCCCCTTTTGCTGAATCATTCACATCAGCATATACATGTACATAAACATGCTGTAATTTTACCCATCTTTTCAAAAAGGCTCTCCTGACCCTGTTTCCCCTCCAGCTTCTCTCTCAAACCCATTTCAGTTGCTCCACAGCCCCACACAGACTGCTCTTGGTTAAAGTCACCAGTTCCCTTGATCTTACCTGACTGACTAGCAAGAATCAGCTGAGCCTCCCCTCGTCCTTGGAACACCTTTCTTTTCTTGGCTTCCACGACGCTATGTTCTCTGTTACTCTTCAGGGTCTTCTTTGGTCGGCTCTCAACTCCTTCACCTGGACGTGTCGGAGGGGTGCAGGGCCCAGTGCTCGGTCTGTTCCCGATCTTTCACGAAGCCTTTGGTGATCTCATTCGGCCTCCTGGAGTTAAATGTCACCTGTCTTAGCCGAGGTTCCCGTAGAAGCAGAACTTTAACAAAAGGTTTGCATGCAGGTCGTTTATACGGGGATGACATTCTAGGGAGCAGAAATGAGGGACGGGGCAAGAAAAACTGAGAGGGAAACCAATTCGAGGATGCATTACTGAGCGGACCACCACAATGGGAGACTGATGCTCCACGGAACTTTCCAGAGAGATTCAGAACTGTCTATCAAAGGAAGAATAGGTCATAATCACCCACCAGCTTCCATACACCATTGGTTAAAGGTGGCCCCATGAGTATTAACACCTCTATAATATGGATTGTACATAGGGCAGTGCTGAGTGAGGTCCTAACCTTGACCTACAGCCACCGTGGGACGGAAGCAGGAAGTTCACGGAGCAGGCGGAAGTGAGCCCCTCTCAGCTTGTACCAATTGCGAATCTAGCCAACATCAGCTGTATTACATCAGCTGGAGAAAGAAGTGGGGTCAAGGGGATTGAAAGCAGTGCTCTAGACTCTAGAGCAGTGGTTCTCAACCTTGGCTGCACATTAAGTCACCTGGGAATCTTTTTAAAATCCTGATTTCTGGGCCTCATCCTCCAGAAATTCTGTTTCTTTGTTACTAATGTTGTGGCCCCACCCCATAACAAAGAAACAGAATTTCCGGAGGATGAGGCCCAGAAATCAGGATTTTAAAAAGATTCCCAGGTGATTCTAATGTGTAGCCCAGGTTGAGAACCACTGGTCTAGCATGTCTATCAGCTATACCTTGATGGCTCTGACACATCTCCAGACTAGAACTTCCCCTTTAACTCTAGACTCACATACCCACCTGATTACTGCCTATTTCCACTTGGTTTTCTCCTCAAAACCTGCTCTTCCCATCTGAGTTAATGGCAATTCCATCTTTCCAGATGTTCCTTCCTTCTAGGCCAAAAATCTTGAATCTGCTCCATGTAAAACCCCTCAGCAAAGCAGGCTGGCTTTACCTGCAACATGTATCTAAAATCTGATCACCTCTAACATCTTCCGCTCCTTGTCCGAGCCCCACTACCAGCACACATCTTGGCTGTTGCAATGACCTCCTAACTGGTCTTCCTGCTCACTCCCTCATCCTACCAGTCTTCACCAGCAGCTAGTGAGCCTTTTGTAACGTCAGTCAGATAATGTCACTCCTTGGGGTTTCCTTTCCCCCTTCCCTGCTTTGTATTTCTCCGTAGCACTTATTGCCATCTGACCTCATAAGACTTTATGTATTTACTTCATCTATTGTCTCTTTTTAAAAACACATTTTTAAAATTTATTTTAGAGAAAGGGAGAGAGAGGAAAGAAAAAGATCGATGTGATCAATCCATTGCCTCCTGCATGCACCCCAACCAGGGATTGAACCCAAAACCTGGGTCTGTGCCCTGACCAGGAATCGAACCTGCCACCTTTTGGTATATAGACAATGCTCCAACCAACTGAGCCACACCGGTTAGGGCTATTGTCTCTTTCTACTAGAATGAGAGCAAGGATTTTTGTCTATTTCATCTCCGTACTAATCATACTGCAAGGCCTTCTTGATATGCCTCGACCGATGACTGGTCTCCATTCTCAGCAACATTAATTGTTAGTTATTATTATCGATGTTGGCCGTCTAGCCAGTCTGAATGGTAAGTTTGTAGCCAGGCTCAAACATACACCATGAAAAATCATTAAAGAACAATGCACAGG